AGTTTTCAAATGGAGAGAACAGAACAGATCAGTCTGACCCAGGAGACATAGCTGTGGTCTCAAAGTGACTATTATTATTAGATAATTATTCCACACATGAGATTTAGAAAGATAAGTTCTCTTTCCATAGAATGGGCATAATTAAATGTTTACTTCTTTTCTTGAGCTCTTGAAGAGTGGGTTTCTTAGCATGCATAGTCTGAATGCCAAGTCCTCATTTTAGGATGTAATTAAAACTGAGTTGCACAGAGGAGCCTGAATACATCAGTTTAACTGAGTTACAAGAGAACACTATGATGGTTTTGATTTTTGCTTTCACTGGAGAGGAGTTCAGAGAAAACTTGAGTAAGCTTTTTGGCCTCAGTTGCTCAACAACCTAGCCACATGACCTTGCAGTTTCAGAAGCTCTTCTGTATTAGACTGATGCCTTTTTTTTTTTACCTTCTTCCATGTAAAACTTTTGACTCCCAACATATCGGAGTTTTATCTCAACAGATTGTCTGAAATAATTTATGGAAATAATAAGGAAATAATTTTAAATTACTTGTTTTTAACACAAGAAAACATGTTTGCCTCATTGCTGTGGCAGTTATGTAGACTATGCATTCCTAGTCTCTAGAAGTAAGTAAATATTTATTATGCAGAACCTGTTTTTCAAAGCCTGATTCGTAAGCTGAATCACATAGAACTCAAATCTGGGCCTTGGCATTTGTTTCCAGAACCCGTGGTGGTTTGTGTCAAGTTGCATGTTCATTATGTCTGTAACTTACTTTCTAAACAGTTTAAAGTTGATTTGTTTTGTAAAACACGATGTGTAATCCATGTGCCCTTGAGAATCTATTCACCCCTCTTCCCACCATTTTAGTTTTAGAACTGGCTCCATTAACAGTCATAGTTTGGACTGAAAGAAGGAGATCAAATTCAGGTCTTTGCTTCTGGAACTCATCCCAGATTTCAACTACTCATACTTTGGGTGTATTAATTTTTGTGCATTTTGTGAAGAATACCTTGTATTCAGGCCATTGTGTATTCATGATTTTGCCTCAATCCAAGATCAGAGTTTAATTTCTTTCACTTCTCAGTAACTGCTGAGTATGACAATGTGAAGACCCAATTTAGATTCTATTGAAAGGAAGATTTCTTTATTGGCAGTTTTACAGAAGTAGCAAATACTCTTAAATAAAAGCCGGTATCGATATAAAAATAAGTATGACTGGAATGTAAACCAAAAAGGCTTTGTCAACCCGTTACTAATACTGTGCTGCAAATTATGTGTTAAAATTGTTGTACAGAGCAGAATGTCTTGCCTCACACTCCTTGAGAGGGTGAGTGTTTCTATCTGTGTTTTTTTCTGAGGATTCAGGGCAATATAATCCATTAATTCTGCCAAATCATTATTTTTGCTTTAGTGAATAATTGGGAAGATTTGCATCCTGACTGAGCAAATTTAACTTTCATTTAACATTGCTTTTTGGAGAATGACTTGCTTGGTCTACTTTACACGTGAACTGACTCACGTGGGCTCGAAGCTGAAGTCCAGGACAAATAGATGTGACTTATCAAGGAAGATAAGGAACCTTGGGCTTCTCTGTAAGACAGAGATGCAACCTGCAATGATGCAACCTTCTGACATCAGATTTGGGCTGTACTAACCCTCAGTGTGGGAAGCCACTCAAACTGTTCTATCCTTTCCTTGTCCATCTTTGGCTACCTGACAAGCAAAGCTTCCAGCAATTTTCTTCTGGTGGGGAAGTCAGATTTTTCATGTGAGGCAGCAGGAACCTGGCAGTGTAAAAACCTTTGATGGCCAGTTGGGGAAAGCTCATATGTCAGGAAAGCTTTATCTGTTGGGCTATGTTATTTCAAGCAGTGCTGCTATGATTGCCCCACCAGGTCCCTGGAATCTGCTTCTTTGGCCAGGTCTCCTCATCAGAACCTCAACTTGATTCTTGCCACATTTAATGCTGTCCTGTGTTCACTCCTCCTGTCTCCTTGACTCACATTCCCTTGACTTCTTTGCATAATACTTGCCAAAATTTGGTGCATTTAAACATGTATTTGTGTTGAGAAAGCTATGGATTGCTCCCTCACTCAACAGGATGATTACTGGCTCATTTAATTTCCAAGTCACCTGATCATTTCCAGTCAGAAATATGTTTAGGAGCATGCATTAATCTTGTTAAATCCCCCAAGGTAGTTGTTCAAATGACTTAAATCAATGCTGCATTGACTTGGAGCTTTACAAATAGAAAGTTGGAGAAGAGGTCAGAGACAAAATAACTGAAGATTCAGAGTGAAGAGATTGGCTAGTGCTGATTAGAGGAGAAATATTAATAATCTGAATTTTCATTTTTCTCTCAATTTTTTTTTGTCTGAGTCGAGGTAATTCTTCGCTGATACAGCTTTCACTGGGGACATTTGAGAAGTTTGTGGTTTGAAGGCTGATAATTGTACAAGGATCATCCAAAAGACAAGTTCAATTTGGTGTATAGGTGTTTAATCATAGCACAGATGACATTGCTCTGAGCTGCTAGGCAGAAAGCAGAATTTCTTTGTCTGCTACAAAGTGAAAAAAATTTGTGATGTGCCTCAGTCTTTCTAAAAAAATCCCCAACAAACCAAGCAAGAAAACCAGAACAGGAGAGATGTTGCTGATATAAAACCAAGATAATCATTGCAGAGTTCAAGTTTGTTTCCTTATAAGGAAATAAGGAAAAAAATGTTACAGTGAAAACCATTCTTATATTAGAATATTAAAAAAGCCCAAGTCTTAAATGCAAAGCTCTGCTAATCAGAATATACACCTGTTCTTATCTTCTGTCATATCTTTCTTTCTCCTGTCTGATCTACCAGTAATCATCACTAATATCGGGAAGGAGGATCATTACCCCCATCATGTAAAATATTCATAGTTTTCAGGTTTAATGCCTCTGATGAGATTAAGCAGTGACCATTCAGAACCCTCATGGATACTGCTCCTGGTGCTTTACCTCTGGAGGAGGGGATTGGTCTACAGAAATGTCCATCTGTATGTGAAAATCTGAAACTTCTGAAATGAACAGCAGTTCTGTCACTGAGGCAGGAGTTACTGATCTAGGAGAGACAGGGTGGAAGTCTGAAGAAGCACCACCTTGCAATGAATTATCTTCCCTTCTTCACAGCCATACAAAGGTAATTAATATATGGGTGTATAGAGAGAAGCATGGAAGAGAAACAGTTTATGGTTTATGCTTAAAGTCAAAACTCAAAATCCCACCCAAATACAAATTTTGAGCCATTCTTTGTAGTCACACTGCTTTCTCTAAAAGTCAACAGAAGCAAGTTGTGTAATTCTTCATGTAATGCAGTGTGGATTGTAGGTTTTCAGAGTCAGATTATCTCATAGTCTGCTGGTTGGTCTAAGCACTGTTTGGAGCAGCTCTGCCATGAGGTACCTTTTGAGTTCACACCCAGTCCTCTATTTCTTAGGACTTCCACGGTTCATTTGATGAACTGTCTGCTTTCAAATGTCAGGAAGTTCAAAATCTTGCCTTTGAACACATGAGACAGGACAGGCAGAACTTCCTGACTCGTCCATTAAATACTCTGATGAGTTGATGTAACTCCTGTGGTGGTGTGATACTGCTGACACAGCAGGTGAGACGCAGAGAGGTTCTGCTGAGGACCTGTTATTCCAGAAAAATAATCAGGTTCAAGTGAATTAATGGAATTGAAGTCATGAGTGTGTCTCTTTTCCCAAGCTTGGTATGCCTCCCTCTATTTGAACAGAACTCAGGCCTGTTTAGTCTCAGCATTGGACACAACAGGATAACTCAGGATGTCTGTCATCAGTGCCCAAATAATAGGAGCTATTTTTCCTTTCTGATGGCAGAGGCAAGGGTCAGAAAGAAGACTTGTGCTTCCAACTTTATGCATGAAGATGGGGAAGCTGCTGAGTTCAAAGTTTCCAAAATATTAGCTTCAATTGATACTGGTGAGGCTGCTGTGGCCCTGGTGCATAGCTGTGAGATGTGCAGTGATGTCGTGTGACTCAAGAGCACACCACAAGTGTTGATGGTGTGGAGTCAAGTCTGTCACACATGCGCACATCCTTTCAGCATGTCTATTTAGTTAGGCATTTGTTTAAGTTTTTAAAAGCTCTGAGCCTTTGCCAGGGCTGCTGAGCCCTCAGCTTATTTAAAAATCAGTTGAATGATGGCTAAACATAGACTTAGTTTCTTGTGTTGAAAAGATCCCTGTTTGAATGAGTCAGTGCTCCTGCCCTATAAATGAAGGAAGGTATTAATATTTACTTTCCTGACAGAAATGTTGCATCATTAATATCTGTACAGCTTTTCTTTATTAAATATTCTTGTCCTTTTATATTTAGTGCTGCATGAAAGAGACTTGTTTATGTGAGAGCAGTGGCTTTTCCCAGGAGCAGCAGCTCAGGATTTCCCTGGTTGGAGGTGTGATGTTAATGCAACGGTGCCTCACATCCCATTGCTCTGTTTCTTCCAGAAGCCTCAAAAGAGGCAATTATGGTCTTTTGAAATGTTGGTAATGATGTTAATGCTCTATAGGCTTGACTTGGTCTGTCAGACCAAGGAAAATACTCTGAACAGGGAATTCATGTTTATGTGTCTTATAAAACATAGCAGAGTCAAGTGAGGAAATGCTCAGATCTAAGCATAGTAAAGGGTCGTGATGGATAGCATTATTGAGCATTTCTCAAGCCTGTCTGAAACTTTGGACACAAATTGTCAAGGCTGTGGCTTTGTTTTATTGCCATTTTTGGTTCCTGATTCAGTGATGTGCTCAGTCTTGCTGCAGTTTTTGATTTAAGAAGGATCTGTCCTATAGACTTTAGATCATTCATTTGGCAGTTACTTGTAAGATTTTCTGGTTTGCCATTTCACCTTTTTCTTTATTTCCTCTTAATAAATAGGTGAACATTTTATCAGTAATCTTCCATGCTGTGAACTTAAGCTCTGAATTTTTATCTCATTTGTGTGTTGCAGCTGGTGCTCAGGATAAAATTGGCTGGGCATTTGGCTTGGGTTTGGAGAGGCTGGCCATGATCCTGTATGATATCCCTGACATCCGACTGTTCTGGAGTGAAGATGAACGCTTCTTGAAACAATTTATTGGGCCTCACATTTGGCAAAAAATAAAGTTCCAGGTAAAATAACATATATATATATAAATATATATATATATAAGAATAATTTACTGTGATGTATTTACATACCTAGCGAATATCCCATAAATAAAATACTGTGTCATTAAAAGATTAGGTTTTAAAGCAACAGCTTTACAGCTGTCATGATTCTTTGATGTACTGCAGTAAAATCCAACTTCTGATAATAACATTTTTTTTCAACCAGATAATGTTGTAACTTCCTGCTAATACCCAGTCAACATCCCTGTTCTGAGTAATGCTTAAGCACATACTTAGCTTTTTAAAATATAACCAGAATAGGGATTGATTTAGGCCTGTGATTTGGTCATGTTGTGTTTTGGTTATGTCCTTGAGTTGTGTTTGTGATTCAGTATAAATGTGTGTTTGATGCAAAGCATTCAAAGATCATAACACATTCTCAGTTTTTACCATTGTTTTAATTCCACAATCATTGATGTCAATGTGAGTGGCAGTGTTAAGCTTTGCCAAATTCTTTGTGGATGTGCCTTGCCATCTTCAATGTCAGCTCTTTTCTCCTGGCTATTGCAGGGGAGAGTGCAGGCTCAGCTTGTATTTGTTTTGTAACTCCTCTGCTGAGGTGATTTTTGTAGTTAGCAACCTCGTCTTGCTTTTTGTACTTACAAAGCAATCAGGCATGACTGGATTGAGTGGAAATGCTACTTCCATAACACTTTTCAGCAGGAGCATGGGGAGGTTCAAGTCAGGTGATGTCAGCTGGTCTTTGGTGGAGTTGAGCTGACACAGATGCTTGATGAAGTCTGAAGTGCTAAAGCAGTAAAATATTTTTTGCAGCTGCCCTTGACCATTTTGTTTGGTTTCTTTGTGTACAAAGTTTGATTATGTTTTTTTAAGAATTGGAATTATTAAAGGGGAAGTCAGCAGTGATAGATGGCATTTGAGTAGTTTCCACATCAGTAGCATCAATTTGTTTTTAAATCATGGCAATTCTCACGTATCTTGTTTGGTAGCATCAAAATATTGTTTGATATAGGTTTGGGGGATAGTTTTAGCTTTTTTGGTTTGGGTAGCTGTTTGGGAATTTTTTTTTTTGGTTGGTTGGGTTTTTTTATTTGTTTGTTCACTGATAACTGGTATTAGTGCATTCAGCTTGTAGTTATCTTACAGAAAGACAGATTTTGCCACTGTTCCTGAAGGTGTATCTGCTTGTAGGTTTCCTTGATCTCCCACAGAATGTTTGTTGTTCTTTCTGATGAAAAAATGCTCAGGTCTCCTTTTCAGCCCTTATCTTTTTGATTGCCTTTGTTCCTGAGCCTGTGGCTTGGTTTATAGACTGCAATCTGATGGAGCTAACATGAGATTTCTTGCTTGCTTTGAGACTGTGGATCCAATCTTCAAATTGATATTAGCAGTAGACTGGGCTTTTGAGGAAAGGCCCAGATTGTTGGAATGGTATGTACTGATGTTGAAGGTGAGTCAAAGAGAGGGCTGGGTGTCTAGCTTCTCTAAATTGCATGTAGCTTTCATGTTCAGTTTTAGGTAAGTCAGGTGTAGTGAAGCAGTCTTAAAGATGTCAAAGGCACAGGTTACTGTGGATAAGCCCAGAGGAAAGTACATGGTTTCTAGGAAGCTAAAAGTGATTTTTAAATTTATTTTTTTTTCTTAATTAGTGCTGTTTGGTAGCCTTACTTTTGATCCTTTCTCTCCTAAAAAAAGATATGGCAAATGTTTTAGAAACAGATTTTTTTCCTCTGGTGTCAAGAACTGCTCAGGGACTTTTTAATTATTTCCTTTTTTTTTTGCCTCCTTTTTTTTTAATCATTTTTCTGCCTTTCCCTTTTAATACACATGCACACCTACTTGACTTGGATGTTTCATCTTCAGTTTTGGTAATTCTCCCCAGCTCTTAGCTTACATTTTTCAATTCTGTATCTGAATATAAGAGAATAGAGGGTTCTCTATTCTCTAGGGTTTCTCAAAAACTTGGGTTTTTGTTTGAAAGCAAGTCTATATCCAGCTTTCATCTGGTATCTTACAATGTGCTTTTTCAAGCTTTGTGCTGTACATACTTCTAGTACATACTGACATTGCTTTTAAAGGATTAATGACCCTTCAAATGTAAACACTATAAAATACTCCTTGGTGCTATCATAAGATCTCCATTTTTTTTCTTCTGTTCTATATTATTTTTCAGGTATGCTATAAAACCAAGTTAGCAGACCTTCTGTTCCTGTCTACTTGCAAAAGAGTCATAAGTAGTGAATCACATGGTTTATTCATATGATATTTGAAAGAAAACTTTTAGCCTGTCTTCCAGTGTTGATGTTGTAAGAAATCTTAAAAGTGTCAGATTTTCTGCATGCAAGGCCATGCAATACTTTTCAGCCTGACTGAACTGAACAAAGACTGACCAAGTGTTTTGAGAGTCTTTCACGACAGAAATTGAATCCTGTGGCTCAGAAGGTCCAGGTAAATGTCCATCCTTTATGTGCTTAACTGAGAGAGACCTCTCAACCTTTGGGTACTCCCCCACATCCTTTTTTATAATCTGAATATGATTCACCAACATAAATATTTTTCTTTCTCTTCATTAAAATGTTCTTCAAATACATGAAGTCCATACTGCACAGCAGTAACCTTTAGCTGGGCTAAATATACTCTTTCACAAAAACTGCTTTTAATTGGAGCATTTTCTTGGGACTTAGAGTATATGCCTTATGCCTTTTAACAGCCTGAATGTGTCAGACTTTTCCCTGTGTCATCGATTGCTCAGTACATGTGTGCAGGCTTTAGTAGGTCAAAAAGCTGCTGGGAAAAGCTGACAATGCTTGTACCACTGTGGCCACTCAGCACAGCAGTGTTAGAGTGCTTCTCCCCACAGATCAGATTATTGCCTGGATTTGGATTAGCAAATCACTCCAGCTATAATTTGACACAAGTCACAGCAGTGTGGGAATCAGGGTCTGGTAACTTGCTGTCAATTGTTTGCATAGAGCTTTTGCTCAGGCTGTGGAATGAAAGGCTGAGGGTGGACAGGGCAGGAAGGACCCAGAACCTGCAAGGCACAATGTAATAAAACAAATGGCTCAGTTCCAATCTAGTCTGCTGTGTTATATCTCTGTTTGTCAGGGCCCTGAGCACAGTTCCATGTAATCGCTTTCTGGGTTATGCTGAGGCAGCATTCTTACAAAAAAAAGTCCATGGGCTGTCAACTCTCAAGGAAAGGTACAAAAATGAAATGACATTTGGAGAGGGAAGGCACTCACAGTTCAGATGTAGCGTGGTGTGCCCAGAGGTGTTGATTAAGAAGAAAGATCTCTGGCAGCAGGACAGATCCTGGAGCCTCCATCATTTTGCTGCCAAGGTAAGCAAGTGGCACATCATGTTGAGTGACTTTTGATGTGTTCTCCCTTCACAAAGTCACTTTCATTTGATGCTGCCAGTGTCTCTGGCTGCTGTTGTTTTAAATAGTTATTTTTTTTGATTGCTGAGGAGCCTTGTGGCCTCCAGTGAGGTCAAGCAGAAGCATGATTATGGCTGTTCTGGCACTGGTACAAAGGGATTCTGGATCAGATTTCTAGCAAAACTACTGACTCCCTGTGTGAGAATATGGGAACTGCTGTCTTCTTGATTTCTTCATTTCTGCATTATCTGTAATATTCTGCAATATCTGTAATAAGTCTAGCACCACCTATTTTTTGTCACACCCTTCCATCATCTCCAGGGGCTGCTCTGTCCTATTGTCTGCTGGTATACTCAGTCCCTCAAAATTCAATTCCTTCATAATTACCTGGTAGCTTCAAGACTCAAAATCATGGACTTTCTAAACAGGATCATTTTAATGGCTCCAGAAGATACAAAGCTCCTGGAGCAGCTCTGGTGTAGGGAGACCTGAGGGTATACTAGCCTTTGGTAGTGGGTTGAGGAGACCAGACAAACAACTTGAATTGACACTGTTCACCTCCTGCACAGCTGTAGCCAGAATGGTGTTTGTGGCCCTAGTCCAGGATGCTCTTTCTCCTTTGAAAAGTGAACAGTTGAGAATAGTGATGAGGAAAAATGTAGCATGATCAAAAAGATGTAGTTGTGTGGAAAGAAGCAATTCATTATACTGGAAAGGAAATCAAAGCAGGCTCCTCTTCCTCCTGTGCAGGATAGCAAAGACTGGGCCTGCTTGCTGCCATTTGCCTTTTGCTCAGTGTGCCACAGGAATTAAGCTCCTGTTCTAATGACAAAGGATTTATGCAGTAGCCCAGTTTGCTCTGTTTGCTGTGTATGTGAGCCCTCTTGTTCACACCATTAGACATTCCAACTTTTCTACCTTACTGTGCACTTTCTGCAGTAAGGGACAGTAATCATCCCTGTGCACCTTTCCTGTCCACAAGCCTGATTGTTACTGAGAGACACAGAGTTTGTCCTGAAGCTTTAGAAGATGCTGAAAGTAAAATGCACTGTCAAGTGTAAGGGAAAACTTCAGCAAATTAAACCATCCTAGTCTATATACTTTATTCCATGCTTGAGAAGGAGAGAATCTACAGTGTATATACCATCCATTTCAACCAGTTTGATCTTACTGCATTCACTGCACAGGGTGGGTCTGTCTGATCCATCATTAGCATGCTACTCTATATAATTTATATTTATCTCCTCAGTCTGTGATTAGTGTTATTTTCAAATAAAAATTAAGTAGATTCCCTGGTTGCTGCATGTTCAGATATTTTTCATCAAGATTAGGTAACTCCATGCTAAAATGGTTATTCATTTATTAGGTTTATTTTCTAATAGTGCATCTATTACAGCCAAATATGCAACCATTAGTATGTAAATTTAACTTGGATGTTAGAACAAATAAGGTATAGCCTCAACTGTGACTTATTGTCTGATTGGTTTAAATGTAATTGAAGATATATAATGTGTGTGTCTGCATTTGGAGGTACAATAGAGAATAGATTGCTGATATTTTAGCATAAACATTTTACCGGTATGACTTTGGGAAGGTTGAATATCTAAGAGTGACTTAC